TGCCTATCTTGCACCCTTGGGAGTTCCCCCTTTTGCAGGCATCCTGGGTATCCCAAATGTCCCTGTGATATTAGCTGCTCAGTGGTTCAGAACCTAGGGTTGGCCAGAATCCTAAACTGCCAGCTGCCGCTGTCCCAGGGCTGCGAGGTCTCTGACCTTGCTGGGCCAGGGTGCATGGTCAGTGGGAGCTGCTGGGGCTGAGTGGCAGCTGGATACCCACTCCTGCCTCCTCTGGAAAACAAACTTGCATTTCGCTTGTTACCCCTTCCCTGACCCTTTGGCCTACTGTACCACACTTTCTGGGGCAGAGGAAAGATAAAGCATTAGGCATGCCTGCCAGAGCATGGGTGAGACATGTCCTTATTTGTTTTTGAGTCAGGTGCTTCCGTTCTATTTGGAGAGAATGACTTGTCAAAACATGGTGCCAGCCTGACAGAGGCTTCAAAGAAATAGTTTCACAATCATTTCCCACTGTCATTTTTATGAACAGAAATTGTGAAGTGTTTACAGCTTGGCTTTACACATTGTCAGTTTTCTTTTTTTTCTTTTTTTTAATATGTTTGTTTTGATTCTAAAGAGAGAGGAATGGAGAGGGGAAGAGAAAGAAACATTGATGTGAGTGAGAAACATGGATCGGCTGCCTCCTGCATGCCCCCCAACCAGGAATTGAGCCCACAACCCAGGCATGTGCCTTGACCAAGAATCAAACTGGCGACCTCTCTGTGCATGGGATGACGCTCAACCAACTGAGCCACACCGGACAGGGCACATTGGTTGATTCTTGTATGTGCCCTGACTAGGGATCAAACTTGCATCAGGATGACGCTCTAACCAACTGAGCTACCAGGCCAGGACGACTGTCAGATTTTTTCAACATTCTTGATAGGTGCAGAAACCTCAGGCTGTCCCAGGTGTCTCATGAGCATTTACTTCCAGGCTGGGTTCCTTGCCTGCCTGCTTCAAAACAGATGCCAGTGGGTGACTCTAGCGGCATTTTCTTCTTATGTTAGTGGGAGCTGGGGCAGCAGGCAGGGCAGATTGCAGTGAGCTGGGTTGGCCTGGCCATTGTCTCTGTGTTGGGTACTCCATTGCCCTTAGAAGTGGCAGGACCCCTGCGCACATCTAGTACTATGCTCCTCTTGGGTAAGGGGCGGGGGCATCATGGTCTCTCCAGTGGATACATTCTGGGGGCCTGGAGCTTTTCTAGGCACCTCCAACGTGCTCCAGCAGTATTCCTGGGCCAGGATCCCAGGATGCAGTAGGGCCTGTGGCATCCTGAGACTCAGGCTGACCTGCTTCTCTTCAGACAGTGGACACATCAAAGAGGTCATTGTGGCTGCTGAGGTGGATCCGGGCGACAATGAGATGACAGAGGCCTCAGGCAGCCCTGACCATCAGGGAACTGGGATGGCTGGGCAGGGTGAACAGGCCCAGGTCAAGCTGCTGGTGAACGAGGATGGCCGCTACGTGTGTGCATTGTGTCACAAGACCTTCAAGACGGTGAGCCCCAGGTCTTGGGCCGTGCCAGCTAAGGGGGCCAGGCCTCCTGCTCAGGGAGGTGCCTGAGCCTCGCTGCCCCTCCCCCCCAGGGTAGCATCCTCAAGGCCCACATGGTCACCCACAGCAGCCATAAGGACCACGAGTGCAAGCTGTGCGGGGCCTCCTTCCGAACCAAGGGCTCACTCATCCGGCACCACCGGCGGCACACAGGTGAGCTAGCTTGATTCGTGGAGCACCCCTACCTCCTGGTGGGAGGCTATGCTCCAGGCCTGCCTTCTCCACCCAAAGCTGACTCTGTTCCACAGATGAGCGTCCCTATAAGTGTGCCAAGTGTGGAAAGAGCTTCCGGGAGTCGGGCGCACTTACCCGGCACCTCAAGTCTCTCACCCCATGCACTGAAAAAATTCGATTCAGCATGAGCAAGGATGTGGTTGTTGGCAAAGAGGATGCTCCTGCAGGTCAGCATGGTGAAGGCTCCCTGTTCCAGCCCTGGAGCTGCCCTGGTCAGGGAGGTTTCTTCAAGAACTCTTCTTGGTTCTGTCTTAAAGGGCCTGGTGCCTCCACCATGGGGACCATTACATCATCATCGGTGATAGGCGAGCCCATGGAGACGTCACCTGTGATTCATCTGGTGACAGATGCCAAGGGCACAGTCATCCATGAAGTCCATGTCCAGATGCAAGAGCTTCCCCTGGGCATGAAAGCCCTAGCCCCAGAGGTGGGGGGCCGTCTGGGGGGTATGGTCTCTGTCTGCTCAGTGCCAGGCTCTGTTCTGGGCACTGGCTCCAGTGGGAATAGGACTGACCTGGGCAGCCTTCCTGGCACTCTGGTTGCAAAGGAGTCAAAAGACCAATGGCTGGTCTAGATGGGGCAAGCAAGAGCAGATGGAGTGGGCTGTGGGGTTCCCATGGGCATTCCTGAGTGAAGCTATTGGGTGTGCACAGTGGTCTCTGGGCCCCTTGGGTTTGCCCTGTGCAGTGGCTTTGGGTGGGTGCCATGTGCTGAGCCACCTGGCCAACCTCCCTCCCTCCACCTCCCCTGCAGCCCCCAGCTCCCAAGGAGCTTCCCTGTTCCAGCGAGGACAGTCGGGAGAACCTACTGCACCAGGCCATGCAGAACTCTGGCATTGTCCTTGAGAGGGTCACTGGGGAGGAGGGGGCCCTGGAGCCAGTCCCTCCCGCTGCGTCCAGTCCCCAGCCCCTGGGAGATGGTCCCCCAGAACTGCCGCTGCTGGAGGTGGAGCAGGTGGAGACAGTAGGTACCTGTGCTGCCAGTGTGCTCGTTCCTGGGGGCGGCACCTTAGATGAAGCTGTTCATTACACTGGCCTGGCCGCCAGCCTCCTTGCTGTTCTCCCTGCTGTCACTTTCTGCAGTGACTTTGTTGCCTGATCTGTTTACCCCTGGGCCTATGATGGAGCCTATTAGGGTGGGGGTACTATGGGTCTATCCTTGGTACTGCTGGGACCCAGCCTGCAGTGGATATTGGAAGCATGCCGTGGTCCCCCAGCAGGTGGCCAACGAGGCCTCAGCTGTACCCAGGACCCACCTGTGCCCTCAGTGCAGTGAAACCTTCCCAACAGCGGCCACCCTAGAGGCCCACAAAAGGAGCCATGCAGGTGAGTGGCAGGAGGGTGGGGCACTGGTCAGTGGATGTAGGTGACCAGGATTGTCCCTTGGGCAGTGGGTGCTCGGGGTGGCCTGTGGGCAGGCAGCAGGTTGTTGAGGGGGTCCTTAGGGATTGGACCTGGTCTGACATTGCCTGAGTCCCCAGGGCCGAAGCTGTTCACATGTGTGCAGTGTGGCAAGACCTTCCCCAAGGCCTACCTGCTCAAGAAGCACCAGGAGGTCCATGTGAATGAGCGCCGTTTCCGCTGTGGGGATTGTGGGAAACTCTACAAGACCATCGCTCATGTTCGCGGCCACCGGCGCGTCCATTCAGATGAACGGCCCTACCCTTGTCCTGAGTGTGGCAAGCGCTACAAGACCAAGGTGGGCCCTCCAGCCCTGACCCCTGACTTCTGACCCCCCACCCATGATCTCTCCACTCTATGGGCCAGATCCATCCCTTGTTTCTGCCACAGCCCTCCCTTGTTAGCCCTTTACCCCGAGCCTGCTCATTGCCGACCTGGCCCGTCCCTGCTGGCCCCTGAATCCTGCACCTTCCCTTGCCCTGGAAGTCAATGGGGAAAGGCTCAGTCTGAGCTGTGGCCAAGGCCAGGTTGATCTTGATGGTGGATCTCCTCAGAATGCCCAGCAGGTACACTTCCGGACACACCTGGAGGAGAAGCCACACGTATGCCCATTTTGCAGCCGAGGCTTCCGGGAGAAGGGCTCACTGGTGAGGCACGTTCGGCACCACACGGGTGAGAAGCCCTTCAAGTGCTACAAGTGTGGCCGTGGCTTTGCTGAGCATGGCACGCTGAATCGACACCTGCGTACTAAAGGTTGGTAGCTAGTGGGTGTCAGGAGGGGTCAAGGGGCAGCAGGCGGCCACCCCTGACTGAACTCTTCATCTCAGGGGGCTGCCTGCTGGAGGTAGAGGAGCTGCTGGTATCTGAGAGCCCCACAGCAGCTGCCACTGTCCTCGATGAAGACCCACACACTGTGCTGGTTGAGTTCTCATCCGTGGTGGCTGACACCCAGGAGTACATCATTGAGGTGGGTGTAGGGCAGGGTTGGGATGTGGCACTGAGGCAGGCAAGGTTGACCTCTGACCCTCTGTCCAGGCCACTGCGGATGATGCGGAGACCAGTGAAGCTACAGAGATCATAGAGGGCACCCAAACAGAGGTGAGGGGCTGCGGGAGGGGTGGGAAGGGGATGCCTGGTACCCTTACCCAGCCTCGTGGGCTGAGCTGTGAGCCACCCACAGGTGGACAGCCATATCATGAAGGTGGTGCAGCAGATCGTACACCAGGCCAGCGCCGGGCACCAAATCATTGTGCAGAATGTGACCATGGACCAGGAGGCAGGGCTGAGTCCAGAAGCCACTGCTACAGACACCATTACCATTGCCACCCCTGAGAGCCTGACAGAGCAGGTGGCCATGACACTGGCTTCAGCCATTAGCGAGGGCACTGTGCTTACTGCCCGCGCAGGTGCAAATGGCACTGAGCAGGCCACAGTGACCATGGTTTCATCGGAGGACATTGAGATCCTGGAGCATGCGGGTGAGCTGGTCATTGCCTCCCCAGAGGGCCAGCTCGAGGTGCAGACTGTCATCGTTTAGCATGGATACCTGCAGGGTCCCACTGGGCTGGGCTGGGTCAAGGGCAAGGATCCTGAGTGCCTTACCCACTCCTACCTGGCCTAGTATGGAAAAGACAGGGCACAGAATTCAGATGTTCAGACATGTGGGAGTGTAAATACAGTTTTTTGTTGCTTTACAATAAAACATGAAAACCCATGGCTTGTGATGTTGCGGCCGTGGCAGCCCTGGCAAGTTCTCTTGTGGCAGCACCTGCCTGCCCACACCACTCTGTAGACTCTCATTCCTGGCCACCCCGCCCAGTACTCATGGGTTGGCGACACTTTGGCGGTGTGTGGGTGTCACTGGCATGTGGACAGGCAGCCACCTGCTGGTGCCCTGCCCACTGGGATCTGTGACCCCAGCTTCCTAAGGCCCAATGCAGTGCCCTGGGGCAGGGGACTGAGGCCAGACCAGGAGCCTCTGACAATGTGTAGAAGAAACAGTGGGAGATATGGGGCCAAGAATGGGGTTGGTCTTTCCTAATTATGCTACCTTAGTTTCCCTGAGGGGATGCAGCTCCAGGAGGGAAAGTCTGGATGACCTAGTTTATGGGGGGTGGGAACAAGAATAAAGCCTGGACCATGGGTATGGCTGGTCATCTCCCCCTCTCCTGCAGCTCTTGGGGTGCTGGCAGGGACTTCTGAGTCCTGATTCTGACAGACTTGGGGGCTGGAGCAGCCTCAGGGTGGATCCCCTGTTGCCTTGCCCTCTGGGGTCTCTGGGAATGGGAGCCAGGAGTTCTGGCACCAACTTTGTAGAGGGGGCGGGACCAAACGCAGTTGGGCCCCTCCCTGGATCAGGGCCTCAAATACCCTGCCTAGTCACCAGAGCTGTTACCAGACCAAGCCCTGGAGTCTGGTACCACGGACACATTCCCAGCCTGGATCTCAGACCCTTACCTGGGCCCAGATTCGGAGTCTCTGACACGGCCCCATCCACATCTCAGGTGCGTCTGGGGCTGAATGGAATGGGGTACCTCTATTTGGGTTTCAGTTTTCCCACGGAGTAGGAGAATGGCTGTGAGCCCAGAGCACCACCCTGGGGAGAGCCTGGCGGGGGCGTTGCACCTTGGTGCCGGTCCACATTGGGCGGCATACTCTGCTAGGCCCCCTTGCCCGGGGAGGTGAGGGGTGGCTAGATGTGTCCGACTCCCTGTCCGCGCTCACGTGGGCTGTGTCTGTCCCTCCCAGACCGCTCGCTCCGCGCAATGGGAGGGCCCCAGGCCCTACTGGCTGCGCTCTGGGCTCTGGGGGCCGCCGGGGCAGCAGCGCTGCGCATTGGAGCCTTCAATATCCAGAGTTTCGGCGACAGCAAAGTGTTGGACTCAGCTTGTGGCAGCGTCATCGCACAAGTGAGGCGGGGGCCAGGGCTCGGGCTGCCGCTGGGCTCTGCGGGTGAATCCGCCTTGCGTAACCCGACCCCTGGGGTCCCCTCTCCAGATCCTGGCTGGCTATGACATCACGCTCGTGCAGGAAGTGCGAGACCCGGACCTGAGCGCAGTGACTGCGCTCATGGAGCAGATCAACAGGTGTGGCGGGCAGCGCCCAGCGTCGGGAGCTCCGGGAGGCATCCCAGGCCTCGGCGCGGTGCCTTGACTCAGGGCTTGGTCCGTATCTCCGCAGCATGTCCAGAAACGAGTACAGCTTTGTGAGCAGTGAGCCCCTGGGGCGGGATCAGTACAAGGAAATGTACTTGTTCGTTTACAGGTGAGGGGCAGGGATGCGGGGTGGGGTGGGGAGTAGGAGGTGGCCGACTCAGCGCACCCACCTGCCCTTTGCCCTCAGGAAGGATGCAGTGTCCGTCGTAGACACGTACCAGTACCCGGACCCGCAGGACATTTTCAGTCGCGAACCTTTCGTGGTCAAATTTTCAGCCCCCAACTCCGGTGAGGCCCCGCCCCACGCAGGCCCCACCTATCTTACAGGCCCCACCCCGCCTTTGACACCCACCCTCTCCCGCAGCTGCTAAGGAGTTTGTGCTGGTTCCACTGCATGCCGCGCCGCACGACGCAGTAGCGGAGATCGACGCTCTCTACGACGTGTACCTGGACGTGATCGACAAGTGGGGCACTGACGTAAGCCCCGTGCCCGCACACACCTGGGTCCCCGGGGGCGGCCACAGAAGTGTAGGCTCTGCTGGGCTGGCTCAGACCCTGGTCCCCCGCAGGACATGCTGTTCCTGGGTGACTTCAACGCAGATTGCAGCTACGTCCGGGAGCAGGACTGGGCGGATATCCGCCTGCGCAGCAGCGAGGTGTTCAAATGGCTCATCCCAGACAGTGCTGACACCACGGTGGGCAACTCAGACTGTGCCTACGACCGTATTGTTGTCTGCGGCGCCCACCTGCGCAGGAGCCTGAAGCCCCAGTCGGCCGTGGTGCACAACTTCCAGGAGGTATTTGGCCTCGACCAGACCCAGGTGAGTGCTGAGTTCCACAGGGGTTGGGGGGGTCCCCTGGTTGCTCTGCACTGGCAGACAGGAGCCAGCTCTCTTCTGCCCAAGGCCAGGCTCAGCCTTAGTGTACCAGGTGACCCCCTTCCTGCCCTAGTTTCTGGAAAAGGCCCCTAGAGGCTCATTTCTGGCAGAATGGAACAAATCTGGGATGGCAAGATAGGATAACCTTTGTCTCTCCTGAGGTAGGGTCCTGAGTCTGTGTCCCTTCCCCACCTGCAGGCAACAGCAGGGGTGGACAGCCCAGGCCTCACTAGCCTGCTCCCCCAGGTGCAGTTTTTTTTAGAAACCCAGTGGGCTTCATTCCAGGTGGGGGCCAGTTCTCAGGGAGGGCAGGTTGCCCAGCAGGGTCTCTGAGGCTTGACTCCCTCTCCCTCCAGGCCCTTGCCATCAGTGACCATTTTCCTGTGGAAGTGACCCTCAAGTCCCACTGACAGTTCCAAGCACTGGCCATGAAGAACAGCTCTACAGGGCTCCTTCAGGGTGGCTGGCTTACTCCCAGCAAGACTGCAGGGCAGGGTCAACTGGGCTTGAACAAGTGGCCATTGACATGTTACAGAACACCCAGAGCCTGTTGCCTATCTGTAAAATGGCCTACCATTACCTACCTCACAGGGGTGTGAAGAGCACCCCAGAGTGCTGGGTGTGGCTCTGCTAAATAAACGGGAGTGCTCAGCCAGGACCACAAACAGGTCAGCTTGGGAGGCCTCCATGACTTTTCTCAGGGCTGTCTTCCTGCAGCACAAACCTTGGTCCTACAGCTTAGGGGGTTCTTTAGGGGCCAGGCACAGTCTAGCCTGTCCATTTCACATCCTGCGGGGCACTACCACCTCCAGACCATTGTAAATGCTTTCAAGAACTTGTACTGAATGCAGTGGGGATCAGCGATCACATAGGTATAATGTTGCCTTGCAAGGCCAAACTTCCAGCCCAATATCCCTCCCGCAGTCTGACTCTCTGGTCCTGCAGGAATCCTGAGGCACTGGTCTTCAGGGGTCCCACCACTGCGGGGGGGTCAGGTTAAGGTCCTGCCCACAGAACCTGCACAACTCCAGTTGGTACAGCCCTTCAATGGTATGTTCCTGGGTAGGTTCTCCTCAGAAGCCCTGGGCTGAGCAAGGACTTGTCCCGGAGGACAGTGGCCTGTATCCCAGGTAAGCCCATCACCTGAGGACTGGGAACAAGCAGAGTTCCAGTACACAGCATAACTGACAAGGGCCTGATGAGGTTTTCAGTTTTGGAAACATTTCATCTTTGGCAGGATTTGGCAACTGTCCTGAATTGTATGGGAGGAAAAGTCTTTTTGTCAGAAGTTTAAACAGGTTTTTCTTGACATATCTTTCTAAAATAAGACATGGGAAACTCTCAACACAGAATGCCTCTCAAGTAATTCCTCCCTCATCCCTCTTTTCAAGTCCCCCCGATTTCTCTGAATTATCATACACTCCTCCATCTAAAGAAACAAATGTGGTGGCTGAAGGGTTTTTCTCTGGGGCGTGGAGGCAGGGGAGTCTTGTGTGGATCATCAGGGCCCATGACTGCTTTATGCTTGTAGCAATCAGGGGGCCCAGGGGCCAGGGATGGGACAAACCGAGAACGTTAGTCACAATTTTTTTTCCTGTTAATCATCACCTGAGATTATTTTCCCATTGATTTTTAGAGAGTGGAAAGAAGGGAGGGAAGGGGAGAGAGAGAGAAACTCAATGTGAAAGAGAGACATCGATTGGTTGCCTCCCACACAGGTCTCCGACCAGGGCTGGGGATTGAACATGCAACCCGATTCCCAGTCAAATCCCTGACCCGCTGGTGCATGGGGCAATGCGCTAACCATGAGCCACACCTGCCAGGGCTTTAGTTACAATTCTTTGGGAAAGGAGACACTCAGTGGTGACACTGCCAAGGTCCAGAATAGGTCCACCTGCCAGTTCATAATCCCTAAACCCAGACACTGCCCACCAACCCTGCCCTGCCCACTCACATGCAGTGGTGGGCCTTACGCCCTGGCTGAAAGGAACAGGGCCTTCTGGGAAGATCGGCAAAACAAAGAGCTGAAAGGACGTCTGAATTGGAAAATACCTTGTTACAAACCCCTTGGGACCAGAGGGCCCCAGAGGGGTGCATGTGCCTGAACCCCGCGTGCGCAACCCCACCATTAGCCCTTCTTCTGTTTGAGCTTTTCTAAGTACATCTGCAAGGACTTCTGGATGGAGTCTCTGGAGATGAAACTGACAAAATTCTTGATGTCTGAGTCCCGATGTTTCACCAAGTAGTCTGCTGTAGGCTTTCGCATCATGCTCTTGGTCAGCTGTCGAGCGTGATCTAAAGATAACACGGTCCACGAGTGAAAACCCACCAGCGGCATAACTCCCAACCTTCCCAAGAGAATTCCAACAGAAACTTTGGTAGAAAACTTAGATGATAAAAGAAAGCAAAAGGAAGAAAATGAGCCTGGCCAGCCGTGGCTCAGCGGTTGAGCGTCGACCTAGAATCCAGGTGACTGGGGTTCGATTCCCGGTCAGGGCAGGTGCCCGGGTTGTGGGCTCGATCCCCAGTCAGGGGCATGGGCGTGCAGGAGGCAGCCGATCCATGACTCTCTCATCATTGATGTTTCTATCTCTCTCTTCCTCTCCTTTCCTCTCTCTGAAATCAATAAAGATGTATTTTTTTTTTTAAAAAAGGAAGAAAATGAGAATCACCTTTCCCACTACCTACTGGTTTCTTTTAAAAATACGAGCCCTGGCCAGTTTGGCTCCGTGGTTAGAGCATGGGCCCACAGACTGAAAGGTCTTGGGTTTGAGTCTAGCCAAGTGCATGTACCTCGGTTGCAGGCTCGATCCCCACCCCTGCCCTGGCCCAGGCGTGTGCAGGAGGCAACCAGTCCATGTGTCTCTCTCACATCGATGTTTTCTTCTCTCCCCCTTCCACTCTCTGAAAATGGGAAAAATATCCTCAGGTGAGGATTAAAAACAAGCCGCCCAGCCTGCGTGGCTCAGCAGCTGAGCACTGACCCAGGAGCCAGGAGAGCCCGGTTCGATTCCCGGTCAGGGCACAGGCCTGGGTTTTGGGCTTGATCCCCAGTGGGGGACACAGGAGGCAGCCGATCAATGACGCTCTCATCATTGATGTTTCTCTCTCCCCCTCTCCCTTCCTTTCTCTAAAATCAATAAAAACATATTAAAAAAATAAAACAAAAAAACCCAAATAGGATATTGTAAAAATTGCCTTTTAGCCTATTTTCACTCGAGCTGGCAACCCAGGTATGTGCCCTGACTGGAAATCGAACCAGCAACCTTTCAGTGCACAGGACGATGCCCAACCGAGCCACATCTGCCAGGGTTTGAGAATCTTTTCCAAGTCACTCAATGTCCTATTATAATTAATGGCTGCACAGTATTTGGTCTCCATGGTCTGTGAGCTAAGAATGCTTTTTACATTTTTATGTAGCATAGTTGAACAAAAAATCAACAAAAAGGGCAATACATTGTGACATGTGAAAATTATATGATATTCAAATTTCAGCGGCCCTAAGTTTTATAGGAATAGCAACATGCTCATTAGTTCACATACTCTCTGTGGATGCCTTCATGCCACAGTTGTGGCAGACATGGTGTGACCCACAAAGCCAGAAATTCACCCAGCTCCTTATAGACAGTCTGCTGATCTAGGTCCCTATCATAGTTGACATGACCAGCCCTATTTCTATAGATATGCAGGCTATTTCTAATTGTTTGGGTAGTGGGTTGAATAGTGGACCCCCCCCCCAAAAGATATGTGAAAGTCCTAACAACTTCTCTAGAACCAGTGCATGTGGCCTTATTTGGAAAAGGGTCTTTGCAAATGTAATTAAGATGAGGTCATCTTGGATTTAGGATAAGCCCTAAGTCCAATGACAAGTGTCCTCATAAGGGAAGGGAAAGGGAGATTTGAGAGAAAGATCATTTGAAGATGGAATCAGATTGGAGTGATGAGGCCACAAGCTGAGTGCCAGGAGCCACCAGGAACCAAGAGGCAGAAAGGAGCCTCCCCTAGAATCTCTGGAGTGATCTTGGCCCTAGCTACAACTTGTTTTTGGACTTCTGGTCTCTACACTGAGGGAATGCGTTTCTGTTGTTTTAAGCACCCCCCAACTCCACCTGTGGTAATTTGTTATAGTAGCCCCAGGACACTAAGTCAGTCTGCATGTTTTCAACTTGCACAGTGCACTTCTACATGAAAACTTTCTGGTCTCACCAGGAGTACGTAGCTGGGGAGGGAAGGGGAAAGGAGGGGAGGGGAGGGGAAA